TCCAAGGCGGCGGCGCAGAGACACTTTGAGAGGGGTGACGGATGGGATGTGGATAAGGTGCAGAATATTGAGTACTCGGAGGAGGATGAGAAGGTCATTGAGGAGTGGATTAGGGAGAACGTTAGGACGGCTTGGCATCCGTTGGGGACTTGTGCTATGAGGGCAAAAGAGCAAGGAGGGGTTGTTGATAAAGATTTGAGGGTTTATGGGACGAGCAACTTGATGGTGGCTGATATGAGTATTTGTCCGGAGAATGTGGGGTCTAATACAAACAATACTGCGATGCTTGTGGGGGAGAAGGCAGCGGTACTAGCAGCGAGATTTCTTGGAGTGGAGATTGATTAGGCTATGATTACACGGGGTTGCTTGGGTACATAACTGGATTCTGGTAAGTACTGTACCGGTACAGTAGTTGGAAAATGTATTTTTTGAGAATAGTGATTTTTTGTTATCAGATGCTGTCGTTTTGGAATAATGAGGTCTTGTGTTGTTGATTTTGATTAAATCATTCATTATTCTGTCCAGAAATTAGCACTTTGTGAGTTGCGCTTGCATTTCAACGGTCCAGAAAGGCTTGGCAACGGCTGATTAAAGTACAATTTTATTTAATTTCATAGTCTACATAATATCTGCATTAAACCCTGTGGTAAATGGTGCACGGATTTCAGCTTTACCAAAATAAACATGGGTTAATTGCAACTTATATTTCGATTGAACTCGAAATAAACCTTCCTATTTCCATCTTTTTCGAAATACTCAAAGTTGCTATCAACTTGTGATTTCGAAATGAATAAGAAGATGCGTGCTCGCGCCCTTTATTTCAAGATTCCTGGAATCTGACCTACGCCAAATGTAAAATACATATGCCTGTGACTGGTAGGTATATAACGGTGCGAGAAGCCAGCGGTTGGAAGAATACTAAGTCGTGTTAAAGATGTTGTGTAACGGTCACTGGTTAATCCTTGTGCTTACAGATGATAGCATAAGGCGGGGTATCCATCTTACCCGACGATCTGTTTTCCTTGTTTATTGCCCAAAGAAAATCGTATCCTGCGTTTCCCTATACTTACTACATGAAAAGTCCTCCCAAATCGTTAAAACTACTGTCTATTACCGTAAGTACTTCAATATCTTACACACTCCATAATACACATCCTCTCCCCAGCATTTTGATTCCAACTTTCCTGCTCAATCGCGATATGACTAGGCCGTGGCTGCCATTAAAGGCCCTTTATGCCCCGTTGACAGGCCCCGCTGCGTACCGAATCCCGTACTGCATTCTTCGCCTGGGTTTCCCCATGAGAGCCATAGAGTATGTGAATTATGATCGAATCTCTGTGGGAATAACTTGGTCATTCTTTACATATGGTTAGGACACAATCATTAGAAACGTAGAATTTATGACGACATATTCTCAATGATTTCGCGGAGCTCGGTTTGGAGTGCAAATTCGACGGTTCACAAAATGTATTCACCGTCAGTAAGGCAGGATCAATCATCCTGGCGAATTTGATGGGTGACCTGCAGACTCAGAAGTTACAAGTTTAGTGGATCGACCAATATGCAGTCAGCAGTAATTAGATGTGTGACTCATCGCGAACATGACACGTCGGATACGCGCTGCGTCGCGTCGTGCGCGTCGCAATTAAAAGGCCCCACCAACGCGTCTTTCTCAATAATCCGGCGTCCTTACCATCCAGCTCTCCCCACGGTATCTTCAACCATGGCCTCCGGTTCCATGCGCATGCCGCTCCTCCAACCTATAATTGATGCAGTATCCGCCGCTCATCCCAATAAGCCTCCCACAGCCGGTGAATTCTGCATTGCCTACCTCGAAGCTCAGTCTTCTCGTTATCAACATCCTGCTCCGATCGAAAAGCAACCGCCATCCCTCGTCTCTGCAACAGTCGATCGGCTTATTACTTCCCTTGTCGAAGACCTACACCCCACTGGCGAGAACGTCAAGGTTGTTCGCGAGACTTGTGACAAGAATGAGAATGTCCGTAGACATGTTCTGAGCTCGCCGAAACTTCCGTATGCTGCGTGCCGTCTCCTGGCACAGGATAGAGCTGTGGATAACTGGATTTTGAAGAATGAAGCGGATATTAGGAAGATGAATGCTGAGGAACAGCTCAACTCTTTGGTGAAGCTGAGCCAGGGAGATGTAGTGTGGCCGGGATCAAAGATTGTGGAGGGGGAAAGGGTTATTACCAGGAAGCTACCACCGAGAGAAGTCATTACGGTGTTGGATGAGTGCAGAAAGAAGACAGTAAGGCTATTGCCGGATGATGCGGCGTTCGCTGCTGCATGGAAGGACGCAACTGGCGGGTTGCTCGACGGGATGGATTGGAGTAATATCCTGGTCGCTGGTGGTATTTGTCTGGGTGTCTTGACCGGTGTTGTTGAAACATCGAGTGATGTTGACATTTATGTCTACGGGCTCACAGCACGTCAAGCGAACAAGAAGATTGAGCAGATTTATGAGACATGGTGGAGGAACTTGGGGCCTTCTGGTAAGCCATTTGTTTTTCGGAATGCCAAAACGATTACCTTCCTCAGCCGATATCCGGAGAGGCGAATCCAGGTATTTACGCACCCTCTACATAAATTTTCACTTTCTAATAATTCTAGATCGTCCTCAAATTATGCCCCACCCTCGCCCATGTCTTGCTGAACTTTGACCTCGACCCATGTGCCATTGGCTGGAATGGTAGCGAGGTCTTCATGCTCCCCCGGGCAGCCCGTGCCCTGGAAACCGGTTACTCTGTATTCACCACCAACCTAATCCACGGCCACTATCTTTCCACTCGCCGAGCAACACAGGAGATGCGGGTTTTCAAATACGCTGAACGGGGTTACGGCCTGCTTTTTACTTCAGACGTACTGAAGTCTTCCGATGTCGACTTTTCCAATCGTAGCCCTCATAGACTTCCCTACGCATCTTACCGCGGCAATTCGAAATGGAAACAAATTCCCAAGGACGTTCCCAACGTATCTCGTCTGACTGGAAAAAAGGCCTTCAAAAAGATTCAATGGAACGCCAGTGACCAAGTCCAGCGTCTGTACTTTGGCAAGTCAGAAGGATATGATTATATTGAAGATTTGAGGAAGAAAGTGAAAGAGGTTGGGTTATGTGTTCGAGATTCTGAGGAGGAAAGTGATCGGTATTACGATGCGCAAAATAATACGAATACTATCCCGAACGCGTTCTTTTACGAAGTTAGTGGGACTCAACAGGGCACTGGACAGCCCGGTGGACATAGCGGTTTAAAGACGGCTGAAAATTTTCTACGGATGTGTGCGTTATGGAAACTTGATAAAACAGGCGAAATACACACTGATATTCGTACTTTCCAAGCTTATGATACGTCTTACGGGTCAAACGCTTACGCGGATATGCCAAGATATGATTGGAACCCTAGTTTTGAAGCGACGAAACTTTGTCGAGATATGGAAGGCCACAACAGCCAGTTATTCCATGCTGTAAGAAGATCAATCGAGACTTATCTGAATAGACCTCCGACGTATGTTGGCTATTTCAATCGACGATTCCGACGTTTCATGGGGAATTCAAATTTCCAAGACGCAATGGAGAAACAAATTACCCTTCCCCTTTGGGTCCCCCTCCAACTCGAACGATACATTGGGACAATCGCCGCTAAGACCTCTCAGAAGATCCTTATTCATGCCACCAACAAGATGTATGCTATTCACGGGCGTACTGAGACCGAAGACTGGAACCTCCGCGTCTGGATCATCAGTCACGAAACGATGTGGGCTCATTCCGTTAGCCGGGAAATCGACGAAATTTTTGAAGTTCTCTGGGCTATCTTCTACTTTAGCTGGGACATTGGTCGCACGGGGCCTGGTATTTCCCTAGCTCAGCCAGTCCATGAGAGAGAAATGGTAGCTTTGCAATATATCTCGGCCTTGTTGGAGAGAAGACCAATACTGGATGAGGGGTTAACAGAGGAGCAGATCGATAGGAAAAAATGGAATGATTGGTTGATGGATGCCCCTCAACAGATGAAGCGGAGACATCGCTCGCTCATTGATGGTTACATGCATCCATTGTATTCGGAAATGAAGTATGGAATTCATCCTCCTGAGTCCTTCTTTTGGGGTGAGGAGGATGAGATGGATGATAAGGGTGTTTGGAGAGATTGGGAAGACGCTAAGAAGGATGAGACAACTATTATGCAAACCGGTAAAAGGAAGCGAGAGGGCTCGCTGGACACGATGTGAGACAAGTGCCTTAATGAAGTTAAGCTAGAAAGCTAGTATTCTCTTCATGTTTTTATTTAAGTCTGTAAATGGTTACTTCATACGTCATACACAAGCTCTGGTGGCTTAGCGGTAAAGCGCATCACTAGTAATGATGAGATCCCCGGTTCAAGTCCGGGTCGGAGCTCTTTCTTTTTAAATTTTCATCTTTCCATCCTAGCTTTGCAAGATCCATGCTATTCCTTTCAAAGAATCCATTCATGATGTAGATATCCTATATTTTTTAAAAAAAAAAAACGAACTGTCGTAGATTATGACACCGGCCGCGGCCTTTTAACAGAACTGATAAAAGTGACGAGAGTTTGGTCTGCGAGGCTTATTCTCACAGTACTCGTGTCTAATACTTATTTCAATTGAAGTGATACTAATTGCTACTGTCAGAACACCCTCAGTGTCGTTTCCCACCAAAAATACAGGGTAGACCAACACTAGTGCTCCTGCTAAACGCCTGCGTACATAGGAAAGCAACACTGAGGGAAGATTCAACAACGACACTGAGGGCGTAACGCGTTCTGATAGCACACTTTAAAAGCTCCCGGGCTGTTATTAACATGTACCTAACAGCCATAGCCAAAAGGTTCTAAGTTCAATCGTCTCAGTAATAGTATTCTAGATTCCAATTACTCCGGTAAAGAACCGGGTGAGTCTCAAAAAAAAAACTCAGAGACCCAAGAAAAGAATTACAAAACTGAAAAAAAAAAGACATCAAAAAATATTGGAGCAGTAGGGGATCGAACCCTAGGCCTTTCGCATGATTGAATCATGGATGCAAAGCGAACGCGCTACCACTGCGCCACAACCCCAGATACTTGACGGTGGTAAAATTTTGTAGCTGAATTTTAATTATAGTAGGTGATATTTTGTGAGGAAGCTCCCGGTGCGCGTTTGATCACTGTCGGATGGGATGGCAACGGCGACGGCCGATGATCAGAGGCTTGGTAATTACTTTTCTTTCGTTCTCTGCTAGTAAGTAGATATTGTCCTCTATCTATGAGAAATCATGAGACTTTGCTATCGAAGTTACGAACTAGGAACTAGGCTAGGAATATGAACTATGAATTCGGAGCTGGCAACATCATAACATACTTAAGAATGATATGACCAGCAGCCAGCTCTCTTTAAATACAACATTTTAACACTACGAATCGAACTCCACAAAAGCATTACATAAAACCCCCCAGTGGCACAGTGCGCAGCTTGTACAATTTACAATGTACACGCCGAATCAAACTGAAGGCACTTCGGATGCAAATTACTGTAGCGAAATCAATGGATCGTACATCATCGCGTGACATCTAAAGGTACAATACAATACGGTAAACGTGGATTGAAGATTCGTCATCGCGCATCGTTCATCAGGGCCTTTAAGATTGTACGAATTGGTACTTCTGGCTCCATCATACCGATACGCCGAAATTATGGCCAGAGCCCTCAAACCAGTGCAAATTTATTATCTAGCGAACAGTTAAACCCCGACTAAAAATGCTAAGATCTCGTGAGTCGTGATACGGAATACCACGGTCTAACCCGTCATCAATCACTCGTACCAGGATCAACGCTATCTGGAACACCAAAGATGACCGTACGATCCACGAATTCGGAACCGTTAATTTCGCTACAACAAAATGTATATCACAGCTCTGAGCAGACTGAGCTAGCTAGATATCGAATGCTTACATCTTCGGTTATTGACTACGATGCGAAGCGAAATTAGAATAAGTAAGCATAAACTTTACAAATATTGCACATTCGCCGGGCTGGCGCAATGGTAGCGCGTCAGACTTCTAATCTGAAGGTTGCGGGTTCGATCCCCGCGTTCGGTTTATCTTCTTTGTAATCTCCTTTTTTGCACTCTGATTTTTTGCCCTCTTGATCATACAAGCTCTTATTTTACATTCTGCTTTTTTGGCCCTTTTTATATCTCTTTAGGCTCTTTTTGTTTTCCCTCTTCAGGTAGTTAGGCTCTGATAGTTTGATTCTTGGAATGATTTTAGTGTGATTTGTTCCTGATTCCTATGTTCTTCTATATGGCTATATCGGTCTATCTATGGAACTATACCAAGAAGCCTTTGGAGCTTGCCGAACCACTAGAGTATGGCCACATTCCCGATAGGTTGATATAAGTATTGCAATTTTGGAAACACTGCTCTTGAGCTGTAAGTCACCTGTTTTGTTAATACATATCAAACATCATAGAGTCGAAACTGCTTCATCTGGGCCGGGGAGCCCGCAACGTTTAATTTTTCTGACATCGGTATATCTATATCTAGTACAAGATAGGGGCCCTGGCCTCCGGCCGGGGAGCGTTCTGCGGTGTCACAGTGAACGATTTATCACCAATGAGAGTTGCAGGATTCGGTCGACTTTTATCCAATGAGAGTTGCAAGATCGAGTTGGAATCATCTTATATAGTTTAGATAGATCTGCAACACCCACCCACAGCACAGTAATCTCCACCGTCGACATCGCCATCTCTACGGGAGTTCGAACTTTCCTCGCTTTCCGTGAGTCCGTGACAAAAGTGAAGGAGGTTGTGAGTGAGAGATGAGTAAAAAAATACTCCTCGGCGGGGAATTGAACCCCGGTCTCCCGCGAACTATCAGTCATGACAGGCGGAAATACTAACCACTATACTACCGGGGATTATATTTCGGTAATTAGGCTAAGTAATATAAAGAAAATATACAAACGTTATCGGGAGCTTCTTCGAAATGGGGTTGGTGGTTATAGTTATGGTTGTCTTGGGGCCCAGGCCCAGAATAAGAAGGATGCACTGGTAACAGTGATGGTGAAGGATGTGATTAAAAAAAAAAAAGCTCAGTGAGAGGTAAGACTGGCTTCAAACACTTGTCAGGACGTAGAGAAAAACCCTTTCAAGATGCTAAAAAAAAGGCACAAAACTCCATAATATTCCCTTAATACTTTAGATTTTTATAAATCCTAAATTTCCAATGATCATTGGTATCATACATAGTATATAGTTCCGCCTAAATAATCCCACTTATTTCCCCTTTCCCCTTTGTCCTCGTCTGACATCAATAGTTGGATAATTACGCCCTGGTATCTACATCCCCTACATCTTCCTGCGTATCCCACCTACCTCCCCCCATTCATCCCTCCTAACCACCTATACCGCCTAACCTCAACCACCCACGCTCGCTCAATAAAAAACCTCGCTTCAAAGAAAAAAAAAAAACATCCGCTTAAAAAGGATATATATACTCCGCACATAAAAACAAGATACAAATCACCCATAAAACTCCATCCCACGAAAAAAGAAAAACAGCCCTCATCACCTAAATCCCCCGCCAAATACACCACAACCACTCCCTCACCGTCCATCACTCATCCCACTCCTCGTCACTCAACTACGTCACCCGACCCAACTCATCGTCAACCGTCGTTACTGCCCGTACTTCGTCCATTGCCCCATAGATAGTTGCAGCCGCTCGCAGACGATTTCGCGTAGCCACTTCCTCCGCTCATGGCAGGCGTTACCACATATCCCCCCTCTCCCCTCCGCGGTCGTCGGCGTAATCATCAACATAATCACCTCCCTATTCCAATATTAATTAGCCTCAATTCCTCAATCCATCATCACCCAATCCACCCCCAAAAACGCACCTTCCCATCAAAACCCCCCGCAAAAAGAAACCCAATCAAAAAAAAACCCCGTCACCCCATCAAGAAAAACATGGAGCACATCAAAAAAACATGGACCCCGTAGAAAACCCCGACCATCAAAAAAAACAACCCCATAACCTCATAACAACCCGTGAAAAATCAGAGTAAGTAAATAATCTGCAATCAACTTACATCATCATACCCCTGCCCAGAATACTCCTCCTGTCTCTGTATCCACCTCTGATCCCTCTCCCTATCTCTCTCCTGTCCCGTATCCCCTGCACCTGCTGCTACTCCTGCACCTCCTCCTCCTCCTGCTGATCGGTTGTTATTATTTGAACCGGATTGCGAAGACCCCCTTGTCCCCCCTGCTTGTGAGATAAGTTGTGGTTGCGTTTGTTGAACCTTAGCTAGATAGGAGTACATAAAGTTACTTAAGAGAACCTAAATTATCATAGTATTAGCCATCATTCACCATGCACACCATATCACACCCTCTTCCTTGCAATTACCCCCTCCCATAGAATGACAAAACATACCTGCTGCTGCAGAGGCCTCCTCGGATTCGCCAATTTCAAATGACTAAGCCTATAAATCGCTCTCTCAATATGTATCGGAAACCTGGTATAATAAAACGCCGGCTGTTGTTGTTTTTGTTCCGGTGTTGTTGCTCTCTTAGCTGTACCCTTATCCGTACCCTTATCCGAACCTTGACCCGAACTTTGATTAGATGCATGATGTTCAGAACTCTTCTTTCTACTTCCACCGAAGAAGGAGAGGAATGAGTTAGTCGTAGAAGAAGAGGTTGTGGGCTCTTTAGCGGCGGCTTTGACGGGGGGCTCGTCAGATGACGAAGAAGAAGAGGAAGAGAAGCTGCTGGATGAGGGGGATACAACGGATACTGAGGAGGAGGTTTCAATGGATTTTTGGAGGAGGTCTAGGCGGGTTCCCCGGGCTCTGTCTTCCTTCTCCTGTTTTTCCTTAGAGATCTTTTCTTTATCAAACCTCTCCCTCTCCGCTGCCTTATCCCTATCAACTTTATCTCTATCCCTATCTTTCGTCAATTTCTCGGAACTCTTGGGGCGCTTTTTCTTTCCCGATCCTGCTCCAGGGGATTGTGATGATGATGATTTAGAGGCGGTATCTTCTTTGTTGGTATCTTCTGCCTTGCTACTCTTGGAATCAGATCCTAACAACCATCCCCAAGAGGTTTTCCGGTCTTTAACAGAACCTGATGAAGTGGGTTTAAGTTTCTTTGCATCCTTCTCTTTCTCCTTATCTTTATCCCCCACTGATGGTTTCGGTTCCAATTCCTCCGATTTCCGTCCTTTCGCAGAAGATATCCCACTAGGTAACGAAGCCTTCCTCTCCGGCAGCTCTATAACCGGCGGCGGTGGCGTCTCAACAATCACCGGCACCACCGGCGTCTCACTTGATCGCTGTTTAGCAACCACAATGCCCCCCTCCTGCTGCCCCCCCACCGGTTTCGGTTCACTCCCCCCTCTCTTCCTTCCCCCCGCAGCGGGCGCAGCCGGTGCACTCCTACACCTCTCCTTCTCCTCAACCTTTTCCACCGCCTCCAGCACCTTATTCGAAGCCGGCAAAGAACCTCTCAATGGTCGGACCTGATCTTTCGCCTCCGCTTGCTCCGCCTGTTCCTCCGAAACTAGTGACACTCCCGGCGGCAGTGGTTCCGTGTTGGATCTTTGTAACCTAAACCCAGGTGGCATAGGGTCTTCATCTTCCGGTCTACTGCTTCGTTTGCTTCCGATTCGTTCTCCACGGCGTAGGGACCCTCGGCGGTAGTGGGTTGCGGTGCTGCGTTTGAGACCTACTTTGGGGGCGAAGATAATGGGTGTGTCATCGAAGTCTCCTGCCGCCGGTGTCGTAGGTCCAGCTCCCCCGGTGGTAGTGGGTCCTTCTATCGGACTCCCCGCAGCAGCAGCTTCCGTCAACTTCGCCATCAACGCCACGGGATCCTTCATCAAATCCTCGACCCTAATGCCAGGATCTCTAACACTCCTCCTCTTCTCCAATCTCTCAGCCCCATCCCTATAAGCCGCCGGATTATCCACCCTTTGACTTAACATAGATTTCTTCCTTCTTAACGCAGGTCCTTGATCCGGTGATAACGAAGCACTACTACTTCTTCTTGATATCTCTGCTTTTTTTTTCTCTAAATAAGCGGAGAATTCTTGTGGTGCTAGCTCGGGGTGGAGTCGTGCTGGAACCCAAAATACGGCGGCTTCGTCGGCGGAGTCTGGGGGCGTGTTGATACCGGCTGCAGGCGGGCTGTTGCTGGGGGAGAAATGCGGTAGGTCGGGGTCGGCGGAGGTTACATCCATGCTCATGCGCCGAAGGGCTTGGAGGTTACTGATTTCCATGGCTACGGCGTGAGGAGAGGTTTCGTAGTCGATTGTGGTGAGCGGGTAGTGGTGGGAGGCGGGGGATGTGGGGGATGTTGGCGCTGTACCTCCGCTTGCTGCTACTCCTGCTCCGCTTGCTCCTGCTGATGCGCCGGCTCCAGTCGTTGATGCGCTCCCCGTTTGGGGGGATCGTTTCCGTGGCGGCGATCGCGGGTTATTAGTAGCTGTTATAGGATTCCTGGGATTCGTTGTCGCGCGCGGAGGACTGGTTGGTAATCTTGGATCTACGTATGAGTTTTGACTTCGGGGGGACGTAGGGCTCGTTGGACTCGTTGCGCTGGTGGTGACCGTATTTCGTGATCTAGAGTTGGGAGGTGACCGTGGGTTCGTCGCACCGGCACTAGGGGGTGACGAAGGCGGGGTCCTTGCGTTTACGCTTGGGTTGGAGGTTCCTGTACGTATATTCGGTACCGAAAGTGTAGTCTGTCTCTTTTTTGATCTTGGGGTCATACCCCCATATCCTCCGCCGGCGAGTTCTTCATCTGTTGGTGAAGGCAGGAAGGAGTAACGGTTGCTTGTCAAGGTGTTCACGGCGCTTGTGTTGATGTCTGATGGAGAAGAGTATAGGTCGCCGATTTCTTCGGTGACGTGGTGTGGGTCGCTCATAGGTGCGCGAGCGCGTTCGTGACGAGGCTATAGGTGATGTCAGCGATGATGAGGATGAGAGCTGTGGCTTTTGGTTAGGGGATCAACAGCCCCGCATGAGAGCAGGGGCGCGGGGTAGGGGAGAGAGGGAGCGAGACGGATGGAGGCCTGGACGGAGGATGAGGATGGGTAGCTCTGTCTGCTGCCTCCGCCGAAGTCCAGACATTGTCCAGCCAGGCAGCTATGGTAGCGAGGGTATCGAAGCTCGTCGCAGGGGGATAGTACACACCTTTACACTCATCCTCCTCTCTCTTGTTCTCCTCGTTCAGTTCCTAAGATTCTCGTATATAGCAGTAGTTGATGGTGTCTAGTATACAGCAGCGGTGCGGGCTGAAGACAAAGTTCAGGCCTGGATGGGAGTCGTGAGGTACATGGGCGTGGGTTGTGCTCTGATCTGGGTTCGTGGGTCGTTACTGCTGTGGTCGTTTGTAGATGGTGGACGAGCTGAGCTTTGGTGTGCGTTGTAAGGCTTCGCGGGGCTGTCGTTGGCGATGATGTAGGAGGGCGATGCGATGTTTCGACGCAGTCCCGAGGGCGTGGTGTACCCTTCCTTTTGTCGGAGCAAGTCGATCTCGATGGTGGCGGGGTGGGGTTCGAAGGAAGGTTTCGCGGTGGTTGGGTTAAAACTCGGTGTCTGAGTAGCGATGGTTGATGGTTGATGGTCGATGGTGTACCGAACTGTAGATCCTTCTCTTACTTTCCAGGTGATGTCGAGTGAGGTGATTTCTTCAGGATAAGGGGGTCGCCAGGATAAATCTTCTGCTTCTTTCTCACGGGGCGGATCTATTTTTTGTCTCTGGTCCGGTTGTATTCAAGTCGTCTTTCGTAGCCTGTCTTTCGTTGCCTGTCTTTCGTCGCCTTACTACAATCCTGTAGAGTAGATCCTTCTTTGTGGCGGCTCGCTCGATGACTGATTGGGAAGATGCAAGATGGCGGGGAGCAGGTTCTAACGCTGGCTGTATGTAACGTTAAAGGTAGAAGCCCGAATTCAAAATGCCCTTTCTTCTTAGGGCTTGAGGAAGCTGCGTAGGCGCGCGAATAGATATTCGATCTCGCTATTTTGCTGCGGCGGCTGGAGAAGCAGAATTATTGGATTGTTATTCAGTTAGTTAAGCTTGGAAGATCTGGAGGATCGTGAATAGGTGAAGAAACAGCCGAGAAAAGCAGCAGCAGCAAAGAAAGTACTGAAAGTGAAGAAACAGCCGAGAAAAGCAGCAGCAGCAGCAGCAAGCAGCAAAGAAAGTACTGAAAGTGAAGAAACAGCACAACTTCCAACAGGACAGGCAAAGAACACGAACTTCGTTCCGAGATTGAAGCGTACAGTCAGCTCATACCTCACTCCACAGTGGGGTAGTCCAAGTACTTCTTCGTTACAGAGAAATGAGACTCGTACAAAATTGTAGCAAAGCAAGCAAAACAGGAGAAGTCGTTGACCAGGTCAAGGATTTTTAGAGTATCTCCGACGGCGTGGGATATCTAAAAATACCTCACCAGCGACACAAGAACACAGGAAAAGCAACAACAATTGAATTCAATTCTACCCGGTACCGCTGATGCGGCTGCAAGGGGCACCTGGGGTGACGAGGTACAAGGACGGTATTATTCAAGCACGCTGCCGAGCGTTAGACTGTTTGGCGAAGTTCAAAGTTCGAACGGTGGTGAAGTAATGCTGGAAACGATGCAAGTCACGGGGGTGAAGTGAAGTAATGCTGGAAACGATGCAAGTCACGGGGGTGAAGTGAAGTAATGCTGGAAACGATGCAAGTCACGGGGGTGAAGTGAAGTAATGCTGGAAACGATGCAAGTCACGGGGTTGAAGTGAATTAATGCTGGAAACGATGCAAGTCACGGAGGTGTCATGACGGAGTCACTCTGCTCCCTGGATTCCGAGCCGGGCGATCAAGTCCCCGACCCACAGGAGCTCCTTTCAGGGAAGCTGAATGCCGAATTATGACAGCTACCGGTCGGCAGTGGCGTCGACGGCACTGAACAGCAGTTATGACAGCTACCGGTCGGCAGTGACGTCGACGGCACTGAACAGCAGTTATGACAGCTACCGGTCGGCAGTGGCGTCGACGGCTCCGAACAGCTCGGGAAGCTCGCAAGGTCCGCAAAGCTCACAGCTGAGGTCCAAAGCACCAGGTCATTTTGCTTCTTTCGAAAAAGTAAGCTGTCACCATCCGCTGTGCCTCCCGTACATAGATAATGACATCAACAGCTACCTTAAAAGCTTGTCATACGTAGCTTCCCAGTCCCTTCATCAGCTCTTCATACATCCCACCCTAAGCTCTAGAAGCTACGAAACAACGGCTCCGTTTCTACTGGCTTTGCATCTTAAGGTCCCGCATCATAAGACCCTAAGTTACCAAAGTTGTTTTCTCAGCTCGCTCGGGCTGAAGCGAAATTACGAACAAACTCAATTTTTCATCATAGCTCCTAATGCCAAGCCAAGCCTAAGGTGCTTAGCTTCGCTGAACTAGAACCCTTTACACGTCGAGTCGCATCCATCCCATCCCGATAAAAAGCTTCCTTCTACAACTTTCATCACCACCAACAGCCCCCCACCCGAAGCAAAGTCGTTTGCAATGCCCCCCCCAACTATCCTCGCAATCAAAACCTCCGCCGTAAAAAGGTTTATAAACGATGAAGCAGGGTATCATCAAGAGCTTGCGGTTGAACAGGCTCGCTTGGAAAAGATGGAGAAGGATGGGGAGAGTGATGAGTATGCTATTGCTCAGCAGGTATGTGCGGCGAGTTTGCGTTGCTTCGTCCTACCTTCTATTCAAACATCGGCCTCATGTGCGGAGGAGCTTTGCGCGGACACCTCGCCAACACGAATGTGTGAAGCTTCATCGCCCGTAGACTCAAATCTCCATACCTCTTTTCTTCTACCTTCTCCCCAAAGCAAATGGCTAACAAACCGTGCCCCAAACAGAAGAAAGTAGTCGAAGAAACCAAAGCCGCCATCCCAGTTGTCCGCGGGAAGCTTGAACTAGCGGTTAAGGAGCTTGAGTCCCAGCTTGTACGTCCCCTCTTATACTCCTGCATCCCCTACATTGGCATCCGCGCCCGCATCGGCATCTGCATACCTCCACCCTCCTGCCAAAGGATCATACACTATCAAGATCGATTCTATGGCGTTTACCCTTTCGGGCGCTGTCAAATGATCCTGCACTTTTCGCAATTGTTCGAAGTTCTGTTCGAAGTGCTGTTCCTACTGTTTGTCCGAGCTATTGCACCTGCACTTGCGCATTTCGCATTTAGCATGCTGTATCCCCGCAGTGCAGTTCCTATTCCTGCACTTGGAACCGAAATTACCTTCCGTCCAATTCCCTCCACTCCCCGTTCCCCCCTCCGTTCACCTTCCTTCCGTCCACTTCCCCACTCCTGCACCTTTCCTCTATCCCTCTATTCCACCGTCTTAGAAGTTTTTCAAGAAAGAAGTTAAGCTAAAATTCCCCAGCAAGCCGCAACCAACGAAACCGACCTCGTAAAGGAGAACGCACGGAACGCTATTTCGAATGGAGAGAAGGTTTTGGCGACTGTTGTTTAAGCCGGTGGTGGGTGGATAGTGGATAGGAAGGGTGCATAATACGCAGTTATACGGATTAAAAGATTATTAATGATACCAAGCTTCTATGATAAATAAAGCCAAAAGCCAGTGGCAAAACTATATTCCATCCTTCGAATGGAGCGCCGCCTCTTTGACTACCCCATAATGATCAAAAGAGAAGAGGGCTATTATTATTGATATCAGTCAAAGGCTAAAGAACAAGCACATAAACGTGGTGGGTGGGGAGTCTCATGAGCTATGGACGATCGCTTTCATTTTAGAAAATAAACACTTGTATTTCCGCGCAAAACCAGAGTCATCTTTTTGCACCAAAATAATTAATATAATATACAACAACCGCAAAGATATAATCCCCGGTAGTATAGTGGTTAGTATTTCCGCCTGTCATCACTTGATAGTTTCGCGGGAGACCGGGGTTCAATTCCCCGCCGAGGAGTATTTTTTTCTTTGGACTTTTTACTTCCCCTTCATCAAGTATCATCCGTTGAACTTCACTTTTACTCGAATGAGTTCGGCTGTTGTTCTTCCATGTGCAGTGATTCAACTTTCTGCCAAAAATGGTCATCAGGAACATTTACATCTTTAACAGATAGGGAAGGTGGAGGCTGTGGTCTTTTTACGTCCTGACTTCTGGTAGGCTGTGGGTCTTGGTCGTTTTGTTTCACGGTACCCGCTGACGATTCCTCTCATGGTCCTGGATACGGGGTTCCTCCATGCTCTACCTCCTTCTATTTGTACCGCATTGCGAGCCTGGAACAAGCTCTCTCGCTATTTTACCCCACGCTCCACCTTGTTCCACTTCAATCTCAATTTCCTGTATTCTCAATTTATTGAAACGAATCATCAAGTCGATTATCCAGCCGAGTTTGTTGATGGCGCTTACGCTTACCAGGTGCTTACGTTACCCATGTATGATGCAGCTCAACACCTGAGCGCTTAACTGCGGGGAAGCTCTGTAGATGCCAGAATTGTCCCCCCTCCCAGTTACTATTATTCTTTGAGTGCTGCCATCGAGAACTTCCGCGCACATTTTAACAGACCGTCATATAAAGCACTGTCGCCATCACACGAACCAGACACTTAGCTACTCTGGTACAGCCTGGAGCTTTTACTTCGCAATGGATCCCTTTACCATCTCCACAGGGCTGGCCGGGTGTCTCAGTTTTGCTTTCGAAATCACCAAGATCTTGACTGCTTATGTTAGCGATGTTAAATCCGCCCCAAAAGAAGCTAGAGGTCTTCTGAGTGAGGTCTCGGCTCTATGCAACGTCCTGGATCAGCTCGTCAACTTCCTTCGAAAACTATGTCACAGGAAACTTCACTCTTAGCTCTGCCCTCTACGTCGCGATCATGGCATGTCAGACACACATCGGGGAGCTACACAAGAAAGTTGAAAAGCTACAGTTTCGGGGCTCCGATCATCCGTTCTCTCGTGGAAATAGCTTCTAATAATAAGCCTCAAACGATAAAGCTATTTTTCACCGCTCGGCCTCAAATAGAAGACTACATGGCCACCGTCTCTCTGAGTCCGCTGTCAATGCAGTTGGCAGCGAACACTGATGACATTGCTGCATACATCACTCATAAGCTGAAAGAAGATATAATGGTAACAATGACAGCGGACTTTAAGAAACAAATAGTGGAGGAGATTGTTACGACAGCCCAGGGAATGTCAGTTTGCATCACTTAATATCACCACATGTTATTCAAGTTAACTTTGTTAATTGATACAGGTTTTTACTACCTGCTCTCCAGATAGAAGCCATACTAGAGAAACCTACGGTTCGAAAAAGGCGGCAGGCTCTTAAGGAAATGCCCAGAGCTTTTTATAGCGCATTCGGAGTTACGTTGGACAGGATACGAGATCAAAAGCCAGATATGTCGAAACAGGCTACAGATGTTCTCCAATGGGTTTTTCTTTCACAGCGACCACTCACCATTAAACAGTTGCGTCATGCTCTTGCGGTTGAACCAGATGACACCGACCTCGATTGGGATAAATTTGTGGATTCACAACTTCTGCTGAGTTGCTGCCTTGGTTTAGTTATTGTTGATGAATCAACCTCGACCGTTCGTCTGGTTCACAAGTCTCTTCAGGACTATTTCAGGATTCTATACGACAGAGGCACAATCTTCATCGATGGGCATCACCGCATAGCTCATATCTGCCTGACCTACATGTCTTTCGATAGCTACGATAAAGAAGTATTAACAATGGAGGACCAAATCTTCGAAAAATACGTACTTCTCAAGTATGCAACATCTTGTTGGGCGACCACTTTTGCAGCTCGAAAACAACTCAAGAAACGGAAGACATGGCGTTTTATCTACCTCATGAGAAGTTCGAGTCTCGTTTGTTCTTTCGAATGCTTGTTTCAATGTCCTCATGGCACGATGTCGCCAATGCCGGGATATTTCAACATCCCCTCGAACATACTATGGAAAGAGCAAGGACTAAAAGTTCTTTGGAGCATGTGGCTGTATCTTCGGGTATGGTTGGTCTTCTTCATTGGACTCTTGCATTTTCTGAAGCAGATATAAATATGCTGGATTGGTACGCCGAGTCCACACCAATGATCATAGCTGCTGGGATGGAAACTCCATATGCGGAGAAGATGTTGGAGATTCTTCTAAAAACAGGCAATGCCGATATGAACCTCCGGGACTCAATGGGTTACCAACCGCTGCACCTAGCAGCTTGCAAGGGGAATCTTGTGGCTATAAAGTTACTTCTCGAGAATGGTGCTGAAGTGAACTCAGGAAGAAACGGGGATCGCCATAGGGCGCTGCATATAGCAGCCAGTCACGGCGATGTGGAAATAGCCAGACTTGTTTTAGAGAAAGGTGCTGATGTGAATGTAAAGGTTGGAGGTTATGGATATACCCCACTTTTACTGGCTGTTGGGGACGGTAGCATAGGGGTGTTGAAGGTACTCTTAGAGCATGGTGTTGATATTAACGCGAAAGGTTACGATCAGACTGCGCTAGTATGCGCAGCTCAACATGAGGAATGGGAGACGGTAAGGATGTTGTTGCAAGAAGATGGTATCGACATTAACCTGAAGGGCACTGATGGCAAGACTGCTATCATCGGTGGTTGAAAATGGCGAGATGGAGGTATTGGAAATATTCTTGGAAAGAGATGATGTGGAATTGACTCAAAAGAAGATGATGGTTCTACTCCCCTATTGTTAGCGGCATATGAAGCCCGCAAAGATATGGTAGAGCGTCTATTAGAAAAATGCGCCGATGCCAATATACAAGATAAGTTGGGCCGGACACCACTGATGCGGTCTATTCTCAGCAACAGCAGCACACCGGATAAATACAATCTTGCTTTCGAGATTATGAAACTTCTATTGGCCCAACCAAATATTCACGTCAACATGAAAGATAAGTTCGGACATTCAGCACTCTCTTTAGCTATGGATCATGAGTTTTCTGAATTTGAGGAGATTCTAAGAGCGCACGGAGAAGTGTAGGGCTAGTATCTGTTTCTTTTTTCTTTCTTTTTTTTTCTATTCTTTTCTGATATTTATCCGATTTGTATTTCCTTGAGTTATTGTTTGGAGAGTTAAAAGAGGAGCCCGGAGGATTTTTTTATCGCGCCATACCTATTCTCGGTGGAATAAGGCCGTGGAGGGGGTAGGGGGTTATTGCTTGACTTGGTGCGGGCGAGGAAGGAATGGGCGAGGAATGAATGGAAGATGCTACAGGAAAGGAGGGAACGTGGAGAGGCGGATGCGGAGTAGGAGGATGGCGTGGACTCAGATGAGTGTGAGTTGTTTTAATGGCGATGATTAGCAACAACGGCGTACCCAATACTGGCTATCCAACTGCTGCTGAGGGAATGGCCGAAACCATCGAGACGTAAGTTATTCTTTAATCCTTCATCCTCGTGGACGTTTTGTAATGGCGGTGATTAGCGAGAATGGAGTCTCCGCTAGCGGCTATGAAACATTCGAGTAAAGCGAGCACGATCCAGCTTTGGTCGCAATGCAGGGAATTCAGAACTCCACATAGTAAGTTATCATTTCATTCCTGATGATCATGAATGGCTTTAACAGTTGTGATTAGTGTACCATACCATCAGCATTACATGTATCCGGCTTTCGGTCCCCCCACCGCTTCTCCTCCCCAGTTTGGTCCCGCCGCCGGTCAGCACATGCCCTCCCGCCCCGACGACGGCTACAGTAACCATACCGTCGCATCAGGCCCAACTCACACCAAGACCTGTTCGGGCGGCATATCCGCCAATCCAGCAGCTCGTCCCGGTCGTGAACCGTGGGCAGCAGCATCCTTCGATCCCTTCCCTCGGACAGCAAGTATTGGGCCAGTACCGCTTCATTAGGGTCGAGGGAAAACTCCACTTTCTTCGCCCTCCTCAGGAACCTCCCCGGCTCCTCCAAGCCCCCCTTCAAACCCCTCAGGCACATCAAACGCTCCTATATTTCCGCACCCATTGAGATCGCTAAACCAAAGGAAGGTGTTACACCTTGGATCAGCCTGGAGAACGCCGAGAGTCTCCCTCTTTCCGCCATTCCCTCGGGAGCTGTCATGAGGAGCCTGCTTTTCTTTTCGCTGTAAATCCTACTTGAGAATCGGGAATTTGTCTTTAACCATCTCTCGAGAAGGTGATCAGCTTATACTCTACACGACGTACCAAAATGATGGGAATGGGGATGGCGTTTGTGGGATATGTATGAATGGTCTTTTAAGATTGTGTTTCTTGTAGTCTGGGCTCGGTTATTATTGAGGAATAAATCTTCTTCCCCGTAATTTACTCTCTCTATCTATCTAATCTAAACTATAGTTCATGACAGTTGATCCGGTATTCCTGTAGACCGTTGCTCCCCTACTCGAGATTTCACCCTACGCGAGACAAGGCATGGCTTTCGATATGTTGGGCATGTCAGTCAAGGAATGACACTAGTCATGTCGGCGACAACCAAGGTCACCCCACCAAATTCCGACCGTGAACAACATTACAACACAACACCGCGAAATTCATTAAACATCTATGATGCATCACCAACATGTAAGTAGATGAGATGTGAAGGTGTTTCATCATGATTTGTGTTGCTCAGTTTGAGCAGTGTCGGCTGGATAGCGAGGCGGGCTGTAGCGCGGCTGGTTGCCTTGCTGATGACTACCCGAGTAGCGCATCTTAACACATATAAAGTCTAGCCTTCTGCCCAGGCGTTGTACGGATTGGGACGGGTTGTGCGTACAAGCGCCTAGAATATAACTTGTTAGCGTAAAACATGATCCGATAATTAGCGTCAGATTGATAATTAACGTACGCGCTAATAACGAACAACTCGAGATCTCAACCACAACAAACAAAAAATGAGATTCGAACGGAATATAGCAAATGATTCAGCTGGCTAAGAAGTGCTCAGAAAGATGAAAAACGAAATATGGCAGACGATTCAA